TGTGCAAAATCCGATCATTATCTCTCCAGCTCCATTTCTGTCACGGAGTCCATGTTTTCCAACTACTGACTCTTCCTCTTTGTTCCCGACTTTTGCATTCCATTCACCCATTATTGGTTGCATGTTCGATCAATCTCTCATTGTAAAAGTTTGTAAAAATCTTCTATCTCCTCTTCCTCGGCAACTGATGACTGACTGACACAAATTGTAGAAAATTTGTACTAATTGTGTTGCAACTTTTGCTCCATAGGTTCTGTAGCTTTTTAAAAAAATTATTTAAAATCTTTTTCTATACTCCTCAAGGGATCTCTGATGGGTTAGCAGTAAGAAGCTGCATGCCAACCTAAGGTTGTGCTCTGCAGCATAAAGATAACCAACCTCATCCTCTCTTTTACTGCCTCTGAAAATCTACTGAAGGGTTGGGTATGGGTTGGTTGATGGTAGTTCTTCTCAGGATACTCTAGTCTCAAAGACTCTACCTAAGAATTCCTGTTTGACTCCACTTCTAGTGAACCAACCTAAGACAGTTGAACAATGATAAGAGACATGTAGGGGCTATCATTTCACTGATACTATTTTATTGATTGACCTAGTTGATAGTTTGTTAATTTTGCAACAATTCATCAGTTGGTCACTCTCTCCACAACTCACTGACCAATACTACAACTAGAGTTCACTTTACAACACCTCCAACATTGAGGAGTTGGAGTGTAAGAAAATGTGCCTGTGTGTACAAAATAATTAAAAGATGTACTAGGAATCATGTAATCTTGATTTAACATTCATTTTTTTTAATCATTATATAGGGTAAGGGAAATAGTCACTCTTTTGCCTCTCTATCTGATTTAGGAGATGTCTTTCAAGTATAAGTTGTTAATGCTCTTGATCTCTACTAGAAAAGTGGAAAATTTGAGTTTGCCCAGTGGTACTTATGAAGAAAGAATTGGCAATCTACTTCCGAAAAATTAGCCATTAAAAACCCTATGGAATAGAGTTCTACTACAACACACATGAATCACTATGAGATTAAGCTGACTTGATGAGAGATAGTTTACTTGTTTTGTAAGATGAGAATTCTATGAGGCTGGAGAGTGTCTGAGTAAACTTTCCACATCAATATTTTGTATATTTATGCATTTCCTATTTCAAGTTTTAAAATAAATGTGTGTGGTTTTTATCATTGGGAAATAGCAACTTAAAAACAAGAGGGAATGTTTATAAAGCAGAAGAGACACATAATGGCTTTATTCCAATCATGGACTTTATTTCCTCTAAAAAGTATTGCTTGTATAATAGAATTATTCTCTCCCCTCTCCCTGCCCCGGTTATATGTTCTTCAAGTGCTTGTCTTCTGGTGAAGACTGTTGTTTCTTATCTTTTTCTCTCTTGAGAAGAGATGCTCATCACTGAGATTTCAGTTCAGGATTAATTCAAAGTCTGACACTGCAAGAAAGACTTTCTGTTTTTCTGAAGCTAATTGTTCGTATGAATCTATAATCCATGAGCTTGATCTTCTGCATTCTTCATGTATGTAAATAAGTTATTTCAAAATATAAAACATTACATTCTAATAAGCAAAATATATAAAAATAAAATTCTATCTAGTAATTCTGTACATTAGTGAGTCTTGAGGTTAAATAAAATACTAAAAAAAATTTCAGAAAACCACCATTTTTAGACTCAACACTATGTCATTTTCCATTCAACATCTGGTAACAGTCAATTATTTCTGCAGTTGAACCAGCTATTAGCTTTCAGAAGAGTCAAAATTCGCTTAGTTTTAGGATCAAATTTGTATTGCCTTGTTCCATGGAAGAAATAGAAAAATCCTAAAAATAGAAAAAAAGAGTTATTGAAATAAAGAAGTATTTTCTAGTTTTAACTTGTCTTCTCAAAAATGCAAAGTCATTTATGAACACAAATATGTTTGGCATTTGTTGTTTCAAAAACAATCTTGACAATTTTCCTACAGAGAAAAATAGAGTAAATACATACATACATACATATACATATACATATAGATCATATACATATACATATACATATATTCACTTACCATCTTTAATGAAAACAGCATCAACCTTGTTGCCAATTCCAGGAAAGCCATGAGCTATCATTTGGGGATAACCGGCATCCATGGATCGTCTGTGTTCATCATACCTGATGAACAAGAAAGTATGAGTTATATCAGAACAGTTACTACACTGTAGACTACACTGCAGACTTCTCAAAAGCATTACAGGGAATTCACCAAAAGGAATGGAATAAGATCTTTTCATCTAATTGGCCATTTATAAAATATAAATTGAGATAAATGAGTGTTGCATGGACTTGTTGTGTACTGTTAAGCCACAACCAACCTACAGCTGACCCTCCAGTGAGTTTTCAGAGGGCAAATGGCGTGGGAAGAGATGGCTCATCTTTCTCCCATGGAGTGGCTGGTGGAGTCAAACTGCACACCTTCAGGTTGACAATACAATTCCTTGCTGTTAGGCCACCAGAGCTCCCTTGTATGGGCTAAAAGTCCTCTCAAATAACCCTCTGAATTGCAACATCTAATTTGAGTTTTTCATTAATTCTATACTTTACCATATTAAGAGAACTAACCATGTGAACATGATTAATCAATAAATCAAATGAATCATGAACTGGCTATAATCATCCTCAGAAAATGCAACTGGTCGTGGCAGTATGTGACACTTTGAAATGAATATAACTTTCTTCCTTTGAAGAAAACATCAAAAACCCCAGTTTTTTTCTGTAGTCCATCTTTACCTCCAGTACTTGTTTGCAACAAAAAAGTATGTTTTCCCCGTTTCTTCCTCAGAAACAGCAGCATCAATACTCTTCACACTTTTAGGGAAGCCAAAGGATGTGTAGATGTCTTTGGGGTATCCATGCAGCACATTCTGTCCCTGCACAGCCCAGTATTTATGACCTGTTGATCAAGAAACAGAAATGTAGGTAAATTTGCTTACACTGCCAATAGACAGGATCCTTGATGGTATAGAAGTTAAGCAGATTTCTAGGGAAGCTCTCTGTTTCACAGATATATTAGAAGAAAAAAATATTGATGGTAGCCTTGAGATCAGAAGAATTGGATGGCTCTTGGCTACCACTACTGATTACTCTATCAGAGTAGAGGTTCCTGGACAGAACAGGAAGAAAATGTATAATAAAACCTGGTTTACCAGAGATTGGCAGAGGCACTGAGGCTGTGGCATTTAGTAACCCAAACTAAATTCAGCCTTGTGGTTCAACTTTTAGCACCACAAAAGAGATGCCAATAAGATATATATTATTATCTTCTTAGAATAATCAGTCATACAAGATCAAAAGGGTAATTTTTGCCCAAGGAAAAAACTCAGGAGTACAAAACTAGGATGGAGGAAAATAAGAACCACAGGTAGAGATTGGAAAGAGTGTTAATATAATGTGAGGACTGTGACATAAATCATGTCATAAAACAAAATCTGTACAACTGATTGAATGAAAAATCAATTACTCTAAATTTTTACTCAGGCACAATAACATACATGTTATTAATATATATCATTTATATGTTGTCGTTATGTGCCTCGAGTTGCTTGTGACTCATAGCGACCCTATGAACAATGGCTCTAAACTCTGCTCTGTCCTGTGCCAATCGTACCGTCTCCAACACACCCATCCCAATTACCCCAGTCACTGAATCAATCCACTTCATAGAGGGCCTTCCCCTCCTGCGCTGTCCCTCCTCCCTCCCAAGCATGATGTTTCTCTCCAAGTACCGGTCTCTCCTTATAATATGACCAAAGTATGACAGATGAAGCCTCAGAATCCTTGCCTCTAAGGAGCAGCCTGTTTAACCCTTTCTAGGATGAATCTGTTTGTTTTCCTAGCAGTCCCTTGTACCCTCAATACCCTTCTCCAGCACCACAGTTCAAAGGCATCAATTCTCCTTCTAGCCTCTTTGCATTGTCCAATTCTCTGATGCATGACAAGTGATTACAAAGACCATGGCCTGTATCAGATGCCCCTTAGTCTCCAGAGAGACACCATTGCTCTTCAGTACTTTTTTTCAGTACTTCATTTATATGTATTCATAAAGAAGTTAGAAAATGTGTACCTCCATTCATTTCCTATCTATTTAAGTTTACTTAGAAATAAAGTATTAAATAGGTAATTAAGATGATTAGCTCTCTTTGATTTGGGAGATTGACTACTGTATTTCCAGAAGCCCATGGAGAGAAAAAAAAGCAAAACACACAATATGCTCTTATAACTTAGCCCAAAAAGAAAGAGAAAATTAATCCATAAAAAAAAATGAAAAAACATGCACAAACATTACCTTTGAAAAACCTTATTTCATCCCTATTTGCTTCTTCATAAGCAGCTTGGATTCCATTTGGCAGATGAGGCCAGAAAACAGAAATGAAGTTGAGCTCAACTTCAGGGTAGTAAGAATTTATGCGCATGTAGAACCTGATTTATAAACAAAGAAAAATCTTAATTTAATGACTAGCAATCACTAATTGGCTTCTATCTCTTTCTTATTGCTGAAATTAACAGTATCCTGGTAAATGTTTAACATCTGGATTTAAAAAAGGAGACTTGGCAGTAAAATACCATAAGATTGGCAATAGTACACCATTATATAAGAATCCATTATACAAACTGTTTGAGAATATGCATAAATAAAATGTAGTAAAATAATTAGAAGATGGTATATTTTTCTTTTTTACTACTATTTTTCATTTAATATTACTTATTTAATTGTAAGTTCATATAATTCCATTTTCAGTACTCTTGGCTCTATTTAACAATTAATTTTAGAAAGTTAGCAATTAACCCTGAACATATAACAGTGGAGTTTGAGATACAATTAGGAATGGCACCATACAACAGGCTGGCATAAAAGAGTAATAATTCTCCAAATACAGTGAGCATTTCCAACAAGCCTCATCTCACAAAACCCCTACAAGAGCCAATACTCCCAACTGACAGATTAGACATTGAGATAAGAGAAGCTAAGGGAAATGTCTAAGACCAGGTAGTTGGTAAGAGGCAATTGTTAATTTCAAACTCATCTATGGTGGCTATTCCCTTTATTGTCCTTTGTCCAGGGGGTTAGTTGATTTTATAGTCCTTAGAGGTTGGAGTAAGTGCACAAAAAGTAAACCATAAGGTCAACAGAAGAGGCATACAGATTCCAGAAGACTTTTAACAAGACAGCTTTGGGAAGGAGAAAAAGACCACAGAGAGACTATGCGCCAGAAGGGACAGGATCTGGTAACCGAGAATCAGACTTCTAGTTCCAACCTGTTACCACCTACCTCTGAAATATTAGGCAAATAACACCTCAGGTAGCATCTCTATGCTTCTGAGTCTTTATGACATCACAAGATTCAAATGATCTTAGTGTCCATTCAGTGCCTAAAATCCTAACCTTACTCCTGTCCCATAGAGTTGTCCCACAAATGCTTGCCTGAATAAACATGCCCTGCTCTACTGCAAGTTTCCCTTAAACCAAACTTTGATTTTTCCCAGCAATGAGCTTACATTCCCAAGTGGTTTACGTATTGTTTTGTTTTTTAGGTTTTGTTTTGTGGTGTTTTGGTTTGTTTTTTTGGTAGTTGTGTTTTTTTTTGTTTGTTTGTTTGTTTTTTGGAGGGTGGGGTTCTTGTTGTGTTGCCCCTTCTTCTACAGTGGAGTGCCTGGTGGATTCGAACCACACACCTTAGGGATTGCAACACAGCTTCTTGCCACTAGGCCACCAGAGTTCCATTTATATCCAATTTTATCTTCCCTATTCAAGAAATAGGAAGATAAGGAACAGAAAGCATTAGAAGTCAATATTCTAACATAGCTACAATCTCAGATCAAACTCTCCCAGGAGGGTGTCTCCTCTCTGCTGAGGGAGGTGAGTCTGTCAGAATGCCTCGACTTTCTATTAAATGTGAGAACTTTTTGTGGACTGCATCATTTGTTAAGTGTATATCATTATTATGCCTGGTTCTTTAGGTACTAGCATGTTAAGGACAGCAGCCCAGTCTTATATGTGAGAAGACCTCAGCCTTTTTGAATCTACACCCTACAGAGAAAACCCTGGGTCTCTTCTTCCAGGAGGAAGGAAGGACCGTTTAGTGATTGCTTCAATCTGCCCAAAGTTTCTCATGAACTTTTGAGGACTCTCACAGCAAGTACACTTCCTCTTGTCTGGACCTCCAGAGCACAACAGTGACCTGTTAAGTCACAGACTTTGGGAGGATTTTTTTTCCCAGAATGTAAAGGGTAAGCTAAAAGAGTTGCCTTGCCCTTCTAGGGTCCAAGCTGTATATCCTCATCAGTCTGACAGTTCTGTGAATGAACTGATGCCTCAGAATAAAATACTGACATATTGATCAACATAAAAAACTATTGTGAAAAGGACCTTGATGTATAGGTGAGAAGATCAATTACTATTCTGATTCAGTGACCTCAGATTCCTGAAATTGCCTCCTTTTTTACCTCTGCTATACGTTATTCATCTAAAAAATGGGATATTCACTGATGCCCTATCTTAATAGTAATTTTCTGAGAATAAAAGAGCATAATAGCTTTGGGGAACAAATTTGCTGTAAGTAAATTATGTTATGTAAATGTAAGGAATTACATGTCTATAATGATAAATGTAAAGAAATATGACATAAAATACATATGAGGTAGTGGTCCATAAAAGTCCTTAGCGGTGAATGTTGTTATTATGAATACGGAATAAGGAAAAATTAATTTCTTACCTATCTTTGAGGAACATCACTTCTCCACGAACTGTAGTTATAGCATCAAAGGTAAGCTTACTATCACATGCTTGTGGAGTTTGAGGGCCTATTGGGTTGCTGGAATCATTTGAGGAGCGACCTAAAGAAACCAAAAAATCTGAAATTACTTTAGGCTATAATGAAAATTGGTTTTGTTATGGTACGTTATCAAGTCAGAACCATCTCATAGCTAACTTTCCAGTGGATTTTCAGAGGCAGTAAATTGCACAGGAGGAGATTGTCCATCCTTCTCCCATGAAGCAGCTGGTGGATTTGAACTGTGTACCTTTGTAATTGTAGTGCAGACTACTACCAGTAGGCCACCAGAGCTCCATAAGCAGTCAAATAACATAGCTTCTTAAAAATTCTTTAAAGATGGTTTTATTTGAAATGAGTATATAGGCCATTAGCCTCTTCTCTTTGGTGACATTGATACTCACCATAGATGGTCTGGATACCATTGATGTCATCCTGAGATAGATGAACTTCACCACTGAAGATGTAGTTAGGATACATTAAAGCTCCAATATCTGTAGAATGAGACAGTCCCAGGGAATGGCCCAACTCATGAGCCACAACACGATACAAGTTGTAATCTGAAAAGAGCCAAGAAATCCATTTGCAATTATCTAAAATACATTTGGTTGTTGGGTAACTTAAGAAACAGTCTACACACTAAAAGGAGGTAATGTTCTTATTTTCACAGTAAGATTTTAAAATAGATCTACAAAATGTTTTGGGGTGTTTGTTTTTTTTTTCTGAAAGACAAACTCACAGACTGACTACTAAAATATCCTGTCACCAAATAGATGGCATGTGTTCTTTTCAGAAGGAGTCCTCATGGCTCAGTGGTTGTGTGCAAACTGCTAATCAAAATGCCTGTGGTTTGAACCCACCACCTCGTCCACAGGAGAAACATGTGGCCATCTGCTTCTATAAAAATTCATACCCTTGGAAACCATATCAGAGTCACAAAATTCACTCAGTGACAATGGAATTTTTGGAAAGGCAGGTATCTTTCAGAGAAATAGTAAAGTTCTATTAATATTTTCTGTATTGTAAAATAAGTGGGCTCTTGTGGATTAGTGGCAAGAAGCTGTGCTGCAATCCCAAAGTCATGAGGTTCGAGGCCACCATCCACTCTGCAAGAGAATGGACAATCTCCTCTCGTGAGATTAACTGCCTCTGAAAACCCAGCAGAGGGTCAGCTATGAGTCGATTCCAACTCTATGGTACTCAACAACAATAACATTATAAAATTAGCAAAAAGCCCCCTTTCTCTTAAATTCCTTGTAATCTAACTACCATTGTTAAATTTCGGAGATTCCTTTTAGTGACTGACTCTATAAAGGACTCCATAATATATCATTAAGGTTTTTGGCATTTTCTTTATAGAAGTTTTAGTGATATGTTTATAACCAAAGAAATGGTATTTCTAGCAGAAAAAAATCTTCTCTTTCTTAAACTTTTCTAAATGTATCATCAATTTCTAGCTGACAGCTAAAAACATGCATACTTCTAGTCATGTATTCATTCAAATAAAGCAACCAACATTGCAATGAACCATGACGGACTCACCTCTGAAATCATTGGTCCATTCTTCATCTTCATCAAAATGCACATCCCCTCCAATACCTGGGCCTGGCTGGAAAGCATGAGCGAGGTTTCCTCCAGGTCCGTCAAAGGGAGAATTGTCTCTATGATCTAAAAAAAAAGAGAATTCAACAGAGAGCTCTTTCAGTTCTCACTCAGGCTAAAATAGGACAAGTAATGTCTTCTTTCAAGGAAGATAGAAGTCTATCAAATGTAATGGAGTTTCCTTCCTTAGCAAGGAATTGTAGCAGCAAAGCTGAAAAAAATTTATGAGCAAGATGGAGTTGAGGCAGGACTGGTTTCATGATACAGGAAGTGCTTACCTCCATAGACAAAGGATAACATTATGTCTGCTTCACCCTGAAAGACCTTGGTGAATGTCAGAGGTGAGACATTACTCCAGAGCTGAAAGGCTTTCTCAATTGCACTGTCCACAACAGCATGAGGCAAATCTGGTGTGTAATTTTCAATCCTCAAATAAAACGAGAGAGAGAGAGAAATAACAGATGAGACCTTATTTCTCACATGGATGGGCATTAGCACTGACACTGTGCTGCTGAGCCTAGTTACCTGTAAGTCAGCTGTTTCTTCTCCCAGCGAGGATTCCCACTAGTGAGGACAAACGGAGCCACATCAGGGACCCCACATCTGGGCTGCTTCATTATATTCAGGGTTTCAGCATCTGGCTTCCCAGTAATCTTCAATCCAAAGAATTTCTGCATTTGCTTCAGCTTTTCAACCACTGGCCCATTGCTTTTCTGTCTTGGTATTTGGGTCCCATCATTCTTCAAGTTATAGAATTTTTCCAAATAGTTCTAGCAAAAGATCAAATTATTGAAACATTGGATGGGAAATCATTCTGATTAAAAATAATAATAACAATAACTGACACCGTGAAGTTGTAACTGAGGCAAAGAACTACTTTTAAAGTATGTATTTAGATTTCCTGAATCTTACTATCCAATGGGTAAGAGAAAAAAAAAAACAAAAAAACTCTGCAAGTTCAAAGTAACTCTCTCTTTTCTATTAGTTACTGTGAAGTGGGGACCACAATGTGTATAATCAGCTGTGCCGACTATTCCTTTCATTGTCTCTCATCTCTAACCCGAAAAGGAAAATTTATACCTGATTAGAGTTCTGGTGGTCTAGTGGGTAAAGGCTGGTGCTACCAACCCCAAATCAGGTGGTTCAAATCCATCTGATATCTCTGAGGGATCAAAAAGGACAATACATCTAGTGCAGTTTTTTTTAGCCTCTGAAAACTCACTGAAGCATCAGCCGGGAGTAAGTTCTTGAAGGTTCTTAACAGCTATACCTGGCTAAATTCCTTTCTAAAGGAAATGCATTCTTAAATAAAACCATTTCTACTATTCTGTAAAAATATGCGTGCTGTTTCTTGCACATGAAAATCATTGTTTACCTGGACAGTCTCCAGATCTTTTTCTTGTGTTTCTGAGTTTGCTGGGAAGCCCTGAGACCCCAATCCGCAGAGCAGCAGCAAGAGCAGAGAAAGGTTGGTCATGATTGCTTCGTTGTCTTTCTGAATGCAAGGTGGCCAGTAGCTCCCAGCTTTCCTGCGTTCCCCTCTCTGTGTCAGGAAGATTGCTCTCTATATAAAGAGAAACCTTGTGTGTGAGAAAGCCGGGTTTCTCTGACTCATATTGCATAATATCCTCTTCATTAGCAATAAACACTGAGCAATCGCCACAAAGTGGTGACTCTTGGTTTTGTTTGGTGTTACGAACTATGATTAATATTTAACAGTACACAAGGAGAGGCCTAGAGGTAAGAAATTACACTGCAATCCCACAGGCACACAATTAAAATCCACTAGCTGCTCTGCAGAACAAAGATGGTCAATCTCTTCCTATGCGATTAACTATCTCTAAAAACCTGCTGGAGGGTCAGACGTGGGTCAGTTCTAACTTGACAGTACACAACAACAACAACAACATGCAATGAATTAATGTCTATTTACTCTAATATCTATTCTTTTTGAGAAAGTCTTTTGTGTCAGGCACAAGACACAGAGCACATCAAGGTCTTCAAAGCTCCACTCTGGAACTTGGTTCTGCTAGATGTGAAGTTCTCCTGGTTCTGCATGTTTCATTTTGTACATTCCTAGAAGGCAGAACTGCTGATTCTGAGTGTGAATGTGAGTGTGTGTGTGTGTGTGTGTGTGCGCGCGCGCGCGCGCGGGCGCGCCCACATTCCTCACTGACAGAAGATCAGCTTCTCAGAAGGAACTCTGCAGTGCCTCGGGTATCCTGTGCTTCCCTTCTGTATGCACTAAACCGTCTGCTGCACTATGCCAATAACGCCATGGCTTTCCTTAGTCTTCACTCAGGCCCAGGATTTGAAAGCCTAGCCTGGGAAGCCACAGCATCAGCAGACAAATGAAAGCCAGAAACCAATCAGAATGGGTCAGGTAAGGCAAGAGCTGGGAAAATACCAGGTGTGAGTTGGGGACTTGTTTTTATCCATTCTTGCTCTACTCCATGTGAATACATCTTTGTCCCAGGTCACATTTTTTTAAGATTCTTTCGTGTATTTCTGCATTTGTGCATTCAAAAGATTTTTGTCTGGCACATTTCATACTCCTTTGCCCAATGTCAGTGACATCTCTAGTATTATTTTGGATTTTCTGTAAATTCGCTTCATTTAAAAATTTTGCTTCTTTGTAAGCAATATGTTGTTTTTGTTCAGTCAAATCAAGTGAGAACCTACCCGTAGTTGAAACTCACTGCAATAAGTTTTCAATAAATTGCAAGGAAGATTTTCCATCTTTCTCTTGAGGAGTAACTGGTAGATTTGAACCGGGTGTCTTTGGGATCGCAACGCAGCTTCTTATCACTAGGCCTTCAGAGCATAATAGTAATTTAACAGACTATTATTTTTGTTTTACATGCACACTAAATTAAATAGTATGTAATGAAAAAAGCCACGTTCATAACAAATGATCTTATGTGTTCTTAGAGACATTTGTCCCACCCTTTGTATAAACAAGAACAGAAACTTAGACTACCTCCATAGCTTCCTCTACTCATGCCTCCTCTTCCTGAAAGTGTTTAAATAAGATCTAAAGTTAAAAAACACTTACCTGCTTTCTCCCACTTCAGTGTCTTTCCTACTATTTCAGGTATGGTCTTTATGACTTTAATTTCATTGTTCATTTTTGTTTTCCTCACAAGAACAGCCTCTTATAAAGAAATAATGATTCAGTATGTACTAACTAAGGGGTCCTGGTAGACAGTGGCTAAGTGTTCAGCTAATAAGTGATAAGTGGTCGACTAAAAATTACCAGGCACACTATAAGAGGAAAATCTGGCAATCTGCCTACATAGTCCATCGTCACCCTATCACCGTCAATTCTGACTCAGAGGACCTAATAGGATAAAGTAGAACTTCCTCCCCTTGAGCTTTCCAGACTGTAAATATACCTGTGCTGAGAATAAATTAACCACACCCATATGAATAACTAAACTGTCACCAGCTCCATAGGATAGCTTTCTTTGCTTACACACAGTTTGCAAATTACTGATTTGGCTACACAGATCAGAAAACACTGGTTGGTTTGCCACTAACTGACTATGATCTTCAGGTATCTGTTGGGTAGCTTCTAATAGAAGCTTTGTGTTATACACAAGCAACTTTGGTCATGGGTACTGCTAGTCAAGGTTGGAAGATACTTTCTAGGTCTGAGCTGAATGCAAGAATGTATTTTAATTGAATTCCTTCCTTTTCCCAGATAATATATCCATACTGAGTGTGATGGTCTCAATTACTATTTCATTGTATTTAGCATCTACTAGCAGTGTTTATACATCAGATAAGACTTGAAAATGTTATGCCATGCATAGAAATCCTAACCAAATAAACACAAAGTAAGAAAGGACAAGGTAAATCAAATGACTGTCATGAAAGCAAAGTTCTCCTCACAAGACTCAGCTGAAGAGTGTGATAGGATCCAAAGTTTACTAAAAATTGAAGAGATTTTGAGAAACCAAATACTCAAGTTACTTAGTAATGTTAAAAAGGTGCAGAATTTTCCAATAAGTATAAGTTAACTCTTATCAGATCACTATTCATAAGGAACAACATACATAACTTACTATTTTCTAGATTAGAAGAGTGGCTCAAATGAGACTTATTCAGTGTTAATAACAATGCCTTGGTACAATGGATGGCCTTACATGTCTTTTCTACCCATTCGTGGTTTTTTGACTATCACAAAATAACAGGTTGGGTCTATGCAAGTAAGTTACTTGTGATCCACCAAGGGGATGGAGCAGCTTGCTAACAAGTCAAATAAAGTACTTGGAATGCTTGCAGGAGTCGAACCATACAAATAAAGTATACATAAGCCTAACAATTCGAAGCAGGAGTAGCACCCACTTCCCAAACCACCTGACTCTGAAAACTCTATGAACTTTGAGAAATGATGATAATTATAGAAAAGTTTCAGATCTTCTGTTCATAGGATTGCTATGAGTCGTGCTCAACTCAAAAGCGATCAACAAAAACAACAATAAGCCTAATAAGGGATGTATCAAGTCTCTCCAACCTGCAAGGGTTAAGATGATGTTGTTGTTGTTGGTTGTTGTTGTAGTGGTGGTGGTGGTATGCCATCGAGCTGGAACTGACCCATAGCCAACCCTCTATCAGGTTTACAGAGGCAAGTAATTCCGTGAGAGGAGATTCCCATCTTTCTCCTGTGGAGCAGCTGGTGTATTTGAGCAGCATACCTTCGGTTGCCAGCACATCTCCTTACCACTAGGCTACCAGAGCAGGAGATGAAGGCTTCACTATGATCTGGAAGAAAAGCTAAGAGTAGATTGTGTCCTTTGAACTCAAAGTCCCTACACTGAGAACTTCTTAGATCGAAAAAAATGAGAGAGCTGTAACACTGGAGATGATAACACCAGTGACAAAGATGGCAGAGTTCTGCAGCAGAACCAGGAAACAGTGCAACACAATATAAAGGACTTCCCACCCCACAGGGTCAGACCTGAGTGCTTTTGAGCAAGAAGCTTATTGTCCAGAGTGGTACCTGGAGCTACTTTTCAGCAAAGCTAAGGAAAGAGGTTTACAACACTTGCTTGAGCCAATCAGAGGCCAGGCTGAGGGGCCTAGGAGACGAGAGACCAAGGTTGAGACCTGTCTACTAGCATGATGAAGAAAGCAGTCTTAATCAAAGAATTCTACCCTGAATTATACTTACTACTTTCCAGCTAAACCTCATAATTTTGAAGACTGGGGAAAATGAAGTGGCTGCCATGCAAGCAAGGGAGTTCTGGTAGCCTAGGATTAAAGGGCTATGCTGCTCATCCGAAGGCAAGAGGTTCAAATCCACCAATTGCAACTCAACAGAAAGATAAACAAACCTCTCCTGTGCGATTTACAGTCTCCCACAACCCACTGGAGGGATAGCTGTAAGTCATTTCCAACTTACAGTATGTAAAAACAACAAAGCCATTACAAGCCGGAAAAACAGTAAAAAGACATCTCCTATTAGAGAATTAATATAGACAGTGTTGAAAAGTCTAGGCTTTGGAGACACTGGGGCATCTATAAGTGTGAAGAGTTCCACTGGGACTTGTGAAAGAAGATTAGTTAATACAAGATACCACATTCTGGCCATCTGGGATTGGGCAAAGATTTACACACTAAATCCCCCTTGCAGAGGCTTCTGAGATGCTCAGTCTGAATAGAGTCTGTGTATCATTCCATTTAGAAGTTGCCAAACTTTTATAAAAGAGTCCTTGTGGCACAATGGCTAAAGTACTCTACAGCTGATGGTCAGCAGTTTGAACTCACCAGTCTTTACAACTCTCCAAGGAAGAAAGATGTAGTAGTCTGTTCATGGAAAAATTTACAGCTTCAGAAACCATCAGAGACAGTTCGACTCTGCCCCATAGGGGTTTTGCTATGAGTTGAAATCAACTCTACATCACTAGGCTTGGTTTTTATTTGGTTTAAGCTATTGTAAACTATTGCATCCTTTGTTGTTGTTGTCATCGTTGTTGTGTACCATTGAGTCAGAGCTGACCCTCTGGTGGGTTTTCAGAGTCAGTTAATCACCCAGGACGAAATTACCCATCCTTATCACACGGATCAGATGGTGGACTTGAACTGTGTGTGTGTCTTTGGGATTGCAGCCCAGATCCTTGCCACTAGAGCTTTTGATAAATTCTTTACTAAACAGAATTACTTTTTGGCAAATAAATTTGTAAACCAGATGAAAATGGTACGCTGCTGGAAGTGAGGAATGGGGCCTGAGAATCCCAAGTACATAGTACTGCATTTGTCTCCTACTTCAGTATATTTTTCAATTTCTGGGAACCATCAGGGCCCACTAGTGTGCGGCTTTAAGACCACCTATCAACCTAGCCCTTATTTTCCACTTTTTTTTCCCAGGAATGAAGCAAATTGGGAAAGATCGGGAAGCTTAAGTCTAACATTTCCTTTTGACCCTAGTCCAAGGTCATTGCCCCACATGTAAATGTTTCATGATGCTTCTGA